TATATATATATATAAATCTTTACTCATTTATCAAAGGACATCTAAGATGCTTCTATATCTATTATAAATAATACTGTAATAAACGTAGGGATGCATATATCTTTTCAAATTAATGTTTTGGATTTCTTTAGTTAAATACCCAGAAGTGGGATTGCTGGGTCATATGATAGTTCTATTTTTAATTTTTTTGGAAACTTCATATTGTTTTTCATAGTGGTTTCACCACTTTGTAATTCCACCAACAAGGTACAAGGGTTTTTTTTCTCCACATTCTCACCAATACTTGTTTTTATTGACTTTTTGATAATAGTCATTCTAATGGTGTGACATTGTATCTCATTGTGGTTTTTATTTGCATTTCCTAATGATTAGTGATGTTGAGAATCTTTTGATGTGTCCGTAGCCCATTAGTATGTCTTCTTTGGAGAAATATCTATTCAGGCACTCTGTTTATTTTTAATTGGACATTTTAGCATTTTTTTAATTTTAATTTGTATGAATGCCTTGCATATTTTGAATATTAACCTCTTATCAGATATATCGCTTGCAAATATTTTCTCCCATTCAGAAGGCTGTCACTTGGTTTTTGCTCTTTTTTTTTTTTGATGGTTTCCCTTGCTGTGCAGATTTTTATTTTGTTGCAGTCACAATGATTATTTTTCTTTTGTTTCCCTTGTCCAAGGAGATATATTCAAAAAGATATTGCTAAGAACCATGTCAGAGAGTTTACTGCCTGTGTTTTCTTCTAATAGTTTTATAGTTTTGTATCTTACCTTTATGTCTTTAATCTGCTTTTAGTTTATTTTTCTATGCGGTGTAATAAAGTGGTTCTGTTTTATTTATTTATTTTTTGCATGTGTCTCTCCATTTCCCCCAACACCATTTATTGAAGAGAATGTCATTTTTCCATTGTATATCCTTGCCTACTTGTCGTAGATCAATTAACCATATAAACGAGGGTTTATTTCAGGACTCTCCACTTTATTCCATCTATGCTTCTACTTTTATGCCATTATCATACCGTTTTGGTTATTGTAGCTTTGTAGTATAGTTTCGAATCCAACTTTGTTTTTCTTTCTCTTGCTTTGGCTGTTTGGAATCTTTTGTGATTTCATATAAAATTTAAGATTATTTGTTCTAGTTCTGACAAGAATGCCATTGATATTTTATGTACAGGAGAATTTGAATCACTTAGCCATATTTGTTCTAATATAAAATGATATTGTGTTTTATGTTTTATCCTATATATGTATATTATAATTTATAATGACTATTTCTATATTATTACAAAGACTATAATTACTGAAAGCAGTTTTAGAGTTTTTTTCTTTTCTTTTCTTTTCTTTTTTGACATATGTTGCCAGGTAAGAATTTAGTGTCAGCTTACTGTTTTTTAAATTTATTTGAAACAATTTTTTTCTGTGTGATTATTACATCAATTTTTAAAAATCTATTATTAGAGAAAATTTTTGGAACTTTAGTCTTGTTTTTTGTCTGTATAAATAATGTGAAGGATTAGCAAACAAATATTTATACATTTTTACCTCTTTTAAACTTAGTAATGATTTCTTTTCTACACTTTGAAAGAAAAAAATTTCACAGGTACTAATCTAAGAAACTGTTTTGTTTTTATGTTTAGACTATTTTGAAACAGCTTTAGAATATTTTAAAAACAATATTATATGTTGTTTATATATTATTTATATATGTAATATATTGAAACAATAGTATTTTGCTTTCTTTTTGCTATAGCTTTGTCTGATTTTTCAATTTGATAAAAACTCAGATACAATATGTTAGATCCCTTTAATTTTCTAAAACATTCATATTTATATATTTATATCTATAAAAGTTATATTACCATCTAATTGCATAATTTTTATTTTTTCAAAGAGTAACAAATCTTCCAAAAAAGGTATAATTAACATTAAGACCATAAAAAATGTAAAGCATGATTTCAAATTATTACTCTGATAGAAAATAAAGATAAGGATTATTATAAAAAGTTCAGCTTTAACTTCAAAAATTTTTAAGATAATGTTTCTAAATAATTAAGTAGAATATGTTTATTACATGAAGAAATATTACGAACAAAGCAACCAAGAAAAAAAAAATCACGATTATTCTGCCTTGAGTGTAAGCAACTTAGTGACTAGGCTGCCATATATATTTTATACATAGTCTATTAGTTATCTAGATTTTACATTTCATATTAATATGTGCATTCACAAAGTTAAATAAAACTGTACATACTGTTTATACCTAGCTTAATATTTTTAACAATATATTATGCATGTATTATATTTTTATAATATAATAAAATATAATTTAATGGCTGAATAATAATAGTAATAATAACAACAGTTAACAGTAACCTAATTATGATTTGCCATGTACCTGGCTTGGTTCAAAATGCTTTATTTGATCCTTGTGTAGTATATAAGCATGATGATTGGGTGTTTATGCTGTTGTATGAGATACATCTCCTTCAAACCTTATTATACCATCGGCACATTACCCGTCTGATGCAAGAAAAAAATAATGCTTTACTTGCACTGACACAACTGATCTTCACAAGTATTCTATAAAAGAAGTATGATTATTTTGTTCATTTTACAACTAAGGGAACTGAGTCACAAAGAAGTAACCTGCCCAAAGTCATTCTACTGGTAACCTGTCCTTTAGTTTATGCTCTGAAACACTTTATAGCACAGTTCCATTATCTGTTGCCCTGTAATTCATTTAACTGTTCCACCAAATTTAGTGTAGTTTTTCTCTTTCTTGTATTTAGATGTTTATAAATTGCCTGCAATTATAATCTTCTACCTATATCATTTCACATTTGTTTCCTTAGCATAAATTCTTAGAAGTGTTTTTAAACAATACTTTGAAAATGGGAACAATACCACCACTAAAAATAAAAATCATTTAAGGAGCTCGAACAGCACACAGAAAAAAGGGAGGTAATTTCAATAAAAACTGATTGTCCAATATTTTATATCCTCTTTGAAGATGTAGATCAACAGATAAAAATATCATATATAAGCTCTATTTCAAAACATAGAGCAATTCAAGAAGACAGAGCTTGTGTAGAATAAAAGAAAAGGAAAAAGAAAAAGACTTGAAGGATATATTCAGAACATTTAACATATGAATTATGGGTATCCCTTCACTCGAAAAAGAAGAGTTATATGAGGAACTAATTGCGCAAATAATATAAGAAAGTTTGCTTAATTTGAAGAAAGACTTTAGTGAGCTGACTTTAAGGGCTGACCAAATTTCAATCGGGATTTATGCCTTAACTGGAGCTTTTTAAAAACAAAGAAACTTTAATATGAGAAATGATTAACTATGTATTAAATTTTTAACTAAGAAATTGGAGTTAATTTAACATAATTCTAGTTAACATAATTCTAGTTCCATGATACTAGAATTATCTTTTTACTTAGTTAAAATATCTTTTAACTAAGTAAAAAGATAATTCTAGTATCATGGAAGTCATAATTATAGGAAATAGTCATCTTTCTTATGGCAGAGGTAAAAACAAAAATGTTTTTAATTATTTAAAAATAGAAACTTAGTGACATGTCCCACAGGGCAGGGTACCAAACCTCTGACGAGAGAGAGGAAGACCCTGATCTAGTGCTGGCAAATATAATGGGGACTCGTGAGGCAGGTTTTGCAATTACTGTTAAAATAGGAAACTGGATTCTTCTACTTCTTCAGAAGTGTGTGTGTTGTGTATGTATATGTATGTGTGTATGTGTATATATATACACACATACATATATATAGTGTACTATATATATATAGTGTGTGTGTGTGCATGTTTACCAAAACCCCAAAATAAATTGTTTCTAGAGAGAGATATTCTCTTTTCCTATTTTCCAAGACTTTCTTGGAAGTTCTGTTGAATGTTATCAAAAAGTAAAATATACACATCAAGAATTAGAATAGTATTGTGCTGGAAAAAAATATTACAGGAAATGTACAAGGAAAACAGATTGATTAAGAGGTTGGTAATAAACTACTAATAGGAACATTAAAGTAGAATAAAAAAATGTGGTGCAATTCTAGGGAATCATAGGAAAGGAAATGGAGAAAAATCTGGAAATTACAATGATAAATAACACTGACAATACCTGAAGACCCTGTGTTACCAAAGGTATGGGGGCAGGAGGAATTCACTACCTGAGAAGCCTACAGGGGAAGTAGTGTTCTCAGGGAAAATCAATTTTAAGTTAGAGCCAAAAAAAGGGAAGAAAAATTTAGCAAGAGTTTAATGAAAGAGGAGTTTTTGCTTATAACCGTCATTGGGTATCAGATCTAAGTATAGATTTTCAGAAACTGGGAAAGGATGAGAGATCAGGTTATTGTTGTGGGTACAGTTCATTTTAACCTGATCTATCAACCCTGAGCAGTACCCACATCACTATGGAGATTAGTATGGGAGATGAGGAGTGATCTTGACCTAGGCTTCTTGCTATAAACAAGATAAACCTGGGTAAATAGTCTAATCATAATGATCTCATGGCAAAGAGTGGAAGTGAAGGAATCTGGGGTGGATGAGAAGGGTGCTCCTTCCACGTGTTTCTATTTATCTGCAATGCATGTAGGACAAAGACAAATGGTTTTGAGTCAATTAACCATGAAAGAGCATTGATATACATATATATTTTTCAATAACAAAGGGAACCATATAGGAAGGAGTAATAGCATTCTAAGACGTTTTGAAAAAAAGAAAATTAAAAGGAAATCTTATAGAAAAACTTGCACAGGGCCATATAACTAGTAAATAGTGAAGTTGAAGCAAAATGCTAAGCCTATCTTCTCTCCATGTTGTTCCGAGCCCACCAAACTAATTGCAATTTTTGCAGGGTTAGCAGGTTACCTCTCAACTTAACAGACAGCTAAATCCTTATAAAACAAAAATATATTTTGTGCTCTTCCCGTAACTTTGGCTCAAAACCATTTGTCCTACTTCCATACTTAAACAGGTAACATTTCACTATTCCAGATTTAATGTATAAATTATAATCTAATTATAAAATTAAATCTCATCTAAATTTCAGTTAATTATTAAGCAAAGTAGTGATCTCTGATGTTAATTAAATATCTGTACGTACTCATTCAGTGAGAAAATGAAATGCACATACAAATACCCTTAACTGCAAATTACTCTTGAGAATGTTTTATAAGTAACTGAGAATGGCACAATTTATGATCAATATGTCCTCTACCTAAGACTTTAACAATGTATATATAAATTATATATGTAAAGAATAGGATTTCTTATTTACTGTTTTAGCATTCCATTGCCTGTGGTATAACAGTTTTATTGTTTTTTTAGGTAACTATACCTATAAATCATTGTTTATAAAATTTACACATTGATTAAATCTCCCAAAATATCATTTTTGGTAGACAGAATTCTAACTTGGACTCTAAGATTTCTGCCTGCTGATAAGCACAGTATAATCTTCTTGTCCCTCTTGAGTGTGGGCCTGAACTAGGGAATTATATTTATAATAATCATGCTTATGATAACTCCTCTGATTAGGTTATATTGCATGGAACAGTTGATTCTGAGAGAAAGAGAGAGAGAGTGAGAGAATTATTAGTGAGTGTGGCCTAATCACCTGAACCCTTAAAGAGATTAGAAGTGTGAGAGCGAATTGATATGAAAAAGAAGGAGGGAGCTGCTCTAGAGCTGACTTCAAAGATAAAGGAGACCATGTGGGAAGGAATGAGAATGGCATATGGGAACTAAGAATGGCTCTTAGCTGATAGCCAGCAAGGTAACAAGGACCTCAGTCCCATAAACATAAGGAATTTAATTCTGCAACCATGGGAGCTTAGAAGAGGTTATTGAGCTCTCGATGATAAAACTGCCTTTCTAACACTATGATTTTGCCCTTATGAGACCCTGAGGAGAGAATACAACCATGCCATGTCCAGATTTCTGATCTATAGAATTTCGAGCACATTCATGGACATTATTTAAGTCACAAAGCTTGTGATAATTCATTGCATGATAAAACAAAAACAATATTTCTTTTTAAAAAAATATATCGAACATGCTATTTAACTTCAAAGAAAAACATTCCTTTTCGATATGAATCCCTCAACACTTACAAAGCTGATCTTTGTGAAAAAAAGAGCCAACAATTTATAATTTATGTGGCTTATCACTTCAACTCATTCTGTTTTCACAGACCTTAAGATTCTTGTTTAAAATTTATTATTCCAAATGACAGTCTTCAGAAGTCATCATGCTCATTATAAAAATCATGTTACAGGAAAGTTGAGGAATGAATAAAGGAGTATTTTTTTTTAAATGATGATAGATTAAAACATGGCCTATTTCTAAATAATTATTTTTCTTAAGTTTCAGTTGTTATAAGGATATAATAGTGAATATGATATGCAAGATCCATACTCTCACAAACATTACATTTTAGAAGTGAGAATATAGCCAGTAAAAAGGAAAGAAATGGAAAATAACTTCAAGAAGTGACAAGTTTGATAAGGGCAATAGGCAGAGTAATGTGATAGTGACAGATGGGCTATTTAGATTGGGTATTCAGAGAAAGTCTTTCTAAGGACTTAACATTTAATAGAAATCTGAAATGATACAAATATCAGTTATGCAAGAAGCTCATAGAAAAATGAGCTTTTTGTTTGCAGAAATAATACCATGAATAAGGACTGGAAGGCAGAAACAAGCTTGATGAAAGAAAATAGGTCATTGTGGATCAGTGTAGAAAACGATATGGAGAAGTGAGTTTAGGAGACATGGAAACTAGATATTATGTAGCCTTGCTTCCTAAAATAAAGTACTAGAATTCAATATGATGTACAGTGGGAAGAAATATAAAGTTTTTAGGTAAGGAAGGAGCATGATATGACATGTTTTGAGAAGATCATTTAGTAGGTTGCTATGAATCCAAGAGTTACTTCACGGCATTTTAATATGTTTCTAGTTTTGTTATGCTTTTTTAAATATATTTTTTCCTGGTCTTGTATCCTTTTTTTCTTTCTTTAGACGCCCTTATTATACCTATGTTAGCTTTTCTTTTCCTGTTTTCCTTCAACTGTAAGGTTGGAGATGGTATAAGTAGAAATTCAAGATCTATTTGCAAAATCTTAAATAAGACTAAAATATCTGATTAAACTCACAATAAGGTTTTAAGTCATAAAGTTATACTAAATTTAAGTTGTACTAAATTATTTTCCTTTGAATAGAACCTAGTTGTATGTTTTAGACTGGTAGTGAGAAAATATCAATGATCATTAGAAAATTTGTATTTAGTAGTTTTTATATGGTATTAGACGTACTTGGGAAGATTTTGATTCTGTTAATAGGAATGATAAAGAGGAAAGAAATATATTTTCAAAAAAGTCAAAATATCGTATTTGATATTTGTAGTTTAAAACAGGTTAGCTATGTATTATTCTCTCAATGACTTGTGTTTATTTGCTAAAAATTATACAATGACAAATATATTGTTTTTAGTCATAAAATACA